AAAGATTGAATACTTTATAAATTATACTGATTAAAATTGAAAAAAAAAAAAAAAAAATTCATTATTCATTGAAAACATTTTTTTTCTTAAGGCAATAGTGTCCATAATATATCTTATTCATAAAAGCAATTAAAAGCTTTTCTAATTAATTTTTTAACTTTTTAAAATCTGACAATTATTTGATTTTTGTCAGAATTCCCAAATCAATGTGTTTTTCACTGAAAAAAAAATAATTTAATAATCAGAAAATCCTTTGATCTTTCCACCTAAGACTATGATGATGAAACTTTACTTTTATTAAGTTTTGGGAATTTTTTTTCATGATGGTATGCACATTTTTTTAATGAATCTGTGGTTTTATATATATATATATATATATATATATATATACACACACACACATACACATAGAAATTGGCAGAAATAAAGCCAATGCTTTCAAGCATTTTAAGTTTAATTAAAAATTATAGTATATTGAAATTAATTAAATTTTTTTTTAGAAAATACCATGTGCAAAATGTGATTTAAAATTATTGTTCATCTTTTTTAATTTTATATTTAAAATTCAGAATTAAAAATTGAAATACTGAAATCCATGAAAAACTTATTACAAAAAAAACAAAAAACAAAACAAATGTCAATATAACAGTAAAACTGCCTTTTTTCAAAGCTAGTTACACCTTTGAATCCTAGCACAGCTTTCACAAGAACACCATGTAATCTATTTTAACTGTTTTTTGAGAATATACCATCCAAAGCCAAGTTAATAATATTAACCAAGTACAAAAGGATCAACAGAAGACAGATTATATTGTCCTGTGTGTTAGTCCTTCAGACTATTCTAAAACAACTGATACAAGCAACTTCCAAAAGATAAAAGATGCTTACAGATAATCAATATTCATTTCTTGTCAAATTGAATACTGATAACCAAAAAGTATGTTTTTCAAAATTGCTGTTCTTCTTTATATACATAAAATTTGTTTGTGGATAATTTTTTAGTTATGCAAATTGGGTTTTTACTATAAACCACCAATACTGTTAGAAAACTTACACATCAAAGATTTTATAACATAAAAAAAAAAAAAGAGAGAAAAAAATAACAGCTCAATATAGCATAGAAATACAATTATTTCTCATGGTTTATTTAATGAACACATTTATTTCAGATTATAGACTGATTAGAAATAAAAAAACATATTTAAATGAATGAGGCAGAAACAACAGTTGCTAGCAGAATGTTAAAAATTTATATAAATAAATCTTAATGGAGTTGTTGCTGGAAGGAGCAAAACTCACAGCCATAAAATAGATCTTTAAACAAGATTACTTTTAATACATGATGTAATTTCTGAATGTTGTCCATCAAAAAATGACCAAGAATCAATACTTGTTTAGACATCAGAAATAGTCAAATAATACAGATAAATATCTGAGTCTGCTGATAAAAGGAATTAAATAAAACATTATAAAAAAAGCCTCCAAACATTACATGAAGTAAAAAATGAAAACCAGTTTTCTTGAAATATGCTTATATATTAATCATTGAATTACAAAAAAAAAAAAAAAAAAAAAATAGAACATGGCACTTTGAAATGTTCAATTTCACATACACTATATATCTCAAATCTACATCTGTAGATTTATAATTGATCTATTTGTATATGTGAGGGGGTATTGTAAACTTTTTGGTCTGACACAGTTCTCAAAATCTGTATTTAAATGACCAAATATCAGAATACACATTTTTAGAATTGGGTCAACCTGAGTACCTTTTAGTACCCCCTTGTATACCTAGGTATGTACATCTATTTAATTAGATGTGTGTGTATGTGTGTACATGTGGGTATATGACATTGACAAAAATATGAAAATAGGTTGCTGTAAAAAGCTAACATCATTTGATTAAAAGAAAAATATTTTCAAATCTGGAAATAATGAAGCATATAGAAAATGATATATGGTGAAAAACTAATTTACATTTCATAACATGTGTTCATAATATACAGATTAAATTCTAGAAATTCTTTTTCTTACATTCTACCTCAGAAAATTTATTAAAATGCAACATTTTTTTCAAATGCCATTTAAAAAAATATTTTGATGACACTTTAATAAAGATAACTGTACTGAAATTGCTTAAGAACACTGACATATATCCTGTAATTGAAAACTTTTTTTTCTTTTTACCTGTAAACATGACTTCATTCAGATTTCTATAGGTCTGCCTTTTTGGCAGATCTATAAAAATGTGTCATGACAATTGGTCAATAAGGGTTATTATAATATACATAAATGATTCAGATAATTTTTTATGATATTAAGCTCCGGAGGAATTAATGTTAATCACCATTTCTTTAATTCTCAACAATATGAAAATTGTAACAAAGAATTTTAAAAAAAAAGTTTGGTTGTTGCAATTAGACAGGCAATATACTTGATCGAGACCTTTGTAAAAAAAACTAAAGAAAAAGAAAGAAGGGATATATATATTTTTTTTTATAATTAATCAGTTACATAAAAAATTAACAGTTAAGTTTAGTTTAATTCAATAAATATATAATTAAAAAAAAACATTCTCAATTACATCTTGGTCTTTATTCACCAAAACATGAGTACTGAAATAATATATTTTTTTTTTACATGACACATGCATTACAAAGTAGAATAAACTCATTACTAGGTAATGTTTTCCATTACTATTGCTTGTTACATTAGCAGAAAGCAGTATTTTTATTTATATGCCAGCAGGCATAAAACAAATGGTGATTCTCCTTAACACACAATTCATAACTTTCAAGGGTATGCTAAAGAAAAAAATAAATATTTTCAAGATCATATGAATTGAGAAGCAATCTTACAAAAATATCTGTTAGAATGATACATTGATTTTTTTTAAAAAATGTTCTGATAAATTAATTTTCTGCTTTTGATTTATGCTACTCGTATTAAATTAGTTAAAAGTTAGTTGAATTGAGTAACAATTTTTGAAATATTTTCAGAACTTATATTTTCAAGGTCATTACATAACCAAAGAGTTTTTGCTATTCAAAAAGAATAAAATAATTTCAGAGATAATCTTTTTTTCTTCAAATGAGCCAAAAGACATATTGGATCTAATAAAAAATCAATTACATTTCTTAAGCATGTAATTTTAAAAATCAGATGCTAATGTCTATATTTTTTTTGAGCAAATTCTTTTTAAATTCAAGAGTTACTTCCCCTGGCCATAGAATTTAAGTACTAAATTTTACATTTTTGAATAATTTCAATCTTGTCTAAATGATGAATGAAAGGTGGTACCATATTGCAAAAAAGGGTCTTTTACATAATTTTTTGAAAATGTCAGTCAACACGATAGAAAATATATACTCAGACTATAATTGAAATTTATAGGTTTATGATAATATGAGGGAAAATTATCCTCACTTGTCTAAAGATATGTTATGGAAAAAGTATGGATAATTTTTGACTTATCTTCATAATTAGGCTAAAAAATTTTGTCAACTGTTATACAGGTCATAAAAACAATCTAACAAATTAACATATAGAAATAAAGATGTAAATTAGCTGAGAATATTAAAAAATTGGCTTTAAACAGTTCATAGTTAATTTAACACTACTTTGATGTCTTTATGTCCAAAACTTAAGATATGTAAGATTTTATGACTTTTTTACAATATGAAAACATTTTTACTCACATTATTTTTTCTTATTTGATGTAAATCTAGTACTTTTGTGTTCTACGCAAAAAGGGAGAGAACCGTGATCTTATTTGAAATTAAAATGACTAATTGCGTTTTATGAAAAACGTTCCAGAAATTAATGACAGGCCATAAGTGAAAACCTTTTTCTTTAGGAAGCACAGGAATTTTTTTTCTGAAGCAAGTCAACGACACCAGTAAAAACAGAGTACATTCACCCTGAGAGCATTAAATCAAAAATGTATATCAGAAAAGGTTATTATAGTTGCAATCAGTTAAGGATTTAAAAAATTAAGAATGATGAGTCTTTTAAAACTTTACCGGTAATTTATTATCGTTGTTAACTTTATTAAGTAGGGTACCAGTAATATAAATCTTTAAGGTACATTAATGAAGTAACATGTGAAAAAGTACAAAAGTAAAAATGCATTAAGGCCAAGCAATATTTATCTTTTTAGGTATTTTTAACCATATTGCAAATATGTTTTATTTTTATTTATTACTAGCCCCTTTGAGATCATAGAAAAATATTAAAAAGCACAAATGTTTTGACAAAAAGAAGAAAATATCTTAGAAATATTTCTGGTTCTAGCATATTTTCAGTCAAGCAGTTCACAAGATCAAACATTCCTTTTTTGGTCCAGGTTTCATATAGACTTTTAAAATAGTTTCTGATAAAGATATAACTGATTTTGTACCTTTATCAAAATTTGTAATTATGCTTTTAAAATCTTTTCTAATAGGGAAAGGTTATAAATAAAATGATCATATTTGAGGACATATAAGACTCCTCTTTTTTACATTTAACTTAGTAATAAGGAGTTAGGGTTAGGCTAGGTAAAAGTCTACAGCATCTGGATAAACTTTAGCTCACTAGATACCTCAACTTTGCATATATGACCCAGGATCTATTTTTGAGAAAAATAAGGGTTTTATATGCCATCAAATGCAGCATATTTTCAATATGAAATGTTAAAGAAGCCACTAATGTTTTTTTTAATTAAAGCAGTAATTTGCATAAACAATTGTTAGATAGCAAGAGATTTATCTCAAATATGTTGTTATTTTTGAGTGACTTTAGGAATACAAGCTTTACATTAAAAAAGGACAAGCAAATATTTTTAATCTTTAAAAAAATAACATAAAAACAATAACAAAAATTGTCAGAAAATAGTTATAAATGAAGCCAAAGGCTAGATTTCATTTATCAAAAACATAAGGGAGCTTTTCTCTCACATTTTGTTTTTAATTTTTATCTTTTTCCTGGAATACCAAGTATTTTAGGTCAAGATTTTATTAATGGGTTGCTTGAACTGATGTGGGATTTTGAGGTGGCAATGCAAGGTTTTCTAATTCTCGTTTGTGTCCATTTTCAGTCAGCCAAATCTGAAAGAAGTTTAAAACAAAAATTGGTTTCTCAATTGACACAGAAATTTTAAATAAAAATGAAATTCTTAAAAATTCAACATGAAAGTGAAACTATCAGAATATTGAGGAGAAAGTTTTAAAATTATCTTTCTTAACAAAGTAGTAGAATCATTTTTCAGCTCTACAACTCATCAGATGCTTCACACACAGAGTTTTATTAACAGTTTTAACATCATAAACCAAGATATCAGCAACATTCCAAACACCTCTATTGGTGATTACACCCTTGAGCTGGTGGAAGACTTTACCTACCTCACGTTCAACATCTCCAGCAACCTTTACTGGGATGCCAAGTTGAACACACAAATTGGCAAAACAGCAACAGCAAGGGCTTGCTTAGCCAAGAGGTTTGGAGCAACATCATGCTGCCAATCAACACCAAGATGAAATTGCATCCAGCCTGTATGCTCAGCATGTTACTTTATAGCAGTGAGGCATGAACCCTGCAATACTTCAAGGAATGCAGACACAATTACTTCCATCTGTGCAGGCTCGGAAGGATTTTGGGCATCACTTGGCAGCACCATGCTTCAAACAAGAACATTCTGGTAGAAACACCAAGCATATTTGTCTTGCTTTCTCAAAGATACTGGCCAGGCTATGTCAGCTGAATGGCGGTATACCTAAAGATATGCTGTACTGAAAACTTGCCACTGGTCCCAGACCTACAGAACAACTAGTCCTTCTTTACAATGATGTTTGCAGCTGTGCTATGATGGTAGGTGACATCAATCCATTAGTCTGGGAAATCAACGCACAGACTAGACCAACTCCTGGCTCATACTTCATTGTCTTACCTGATAGCCAATGTCAATGAGCAGAGTCTTACAAAGTATATATTGAGGAGAATACCATCAATCATAAAATTGAGTCCAAAAAATTATCAGGTTTTCAGTTTAAAATCTAATATTGAATTTTCTTTGGCATAGTTTACTAAAAGCAATGAAACACATCTAAAAAATTAAAAGGTGAGTTCTTATATTACAGAAACAGCTTTCATGCTAAATAATGTAAATAAAAAATGAATTTTGAATCAATTCACCCCAATCAAGGCAATAAAGCCACTAAGTTGCAAGTAGTTACTGCGTGTAAGAGATTACGAGAAAAAGAAAACATTATTAAGGAGAGAAAACAATAAAAGAACAAATTAAGAAAACAGAAGAAATGATTGTCATTGCATTTAAATTTTTGAATATCAAACTTGACTGGAAAGCAAGAAGCCAGAAGAGAGTTCCACAAGTGAGATGTGCAAGCAAAGAAACTGTTAGCTATTTCAACTAAAAATGATAAGTTGCTACCAATCTAATACTTTGTTTAAATTTATAATGTCTAAGTAATAACAAAGAAAGTTCATCATAAGATGAAGGTATTTATAGAAGAGACACAGAGAAGCTATGTTATGGCGGTGGGAAATCGACTAAAGCTGAGATGCCAGGTGAGGATCAATAATGCTGCCAATTCTTCTTTGTATATTATCTAGAATCTCTAAATACATAGCAGAAGCACCAGAACAGATGCGGCAACAATATTCAATGCATAGACGAATGGTAAACTTATAAATGTGTAAGATAGATTCTGGCGAGAAAAATTGTTTAGCACAACACAGTGAACCAACTTTCTTAGCAGCAAACCCAGCAATTGATTCAATATAATCTTACCATTTCATGTGAGTGAAAAATGTTAGCCTGAGAAGTTACAAGGAGTCACTCTCCTGAAGGTTAGCATCAGCCATAATGATGGAAGGCAAAAAGAGCTTCTATCAGACAATTAAAATGTGCAGTTTCATTTTGGAGATTTAAAAATTAACAAGACATTTCTTGCCCCAGTTAAAAACAATTAGTTAAAGTTGCTAGGGTTAACAGACTTCCTCTCACTAATCACATAACAATAACACTATTAAACTACCAGCAAAGTAGAAATACAAATTTTTAATTCAACACAGTAACATGACATGTCAAATTTTGTGAGAATTCATCCAATTATAAACTACTACATTATCACTTTTTTCTTATTTCAACATACTGCACAACAAATAGAAATAAACTTACCATCATTGTTACTTTTTACTTCATATTCTCAATTCTTTATTTATCCAAAAGCTCCCAGACATACTAAACTCATACTGACACCCACAAATCCTTAGAGAGTGCTGTGCAGTGGCATAGTGCGGGTAGAGCCAGAGAGGCGATTACCCCAGGTTCTAAATTTTTAGGGGCACCAAAAAATTAATTAGGTTGAGAAAATACATACAAAATTAGAATTTATAACAGCTCATGGCTAAGGAGGAGGTTTAAATTGCCCCAGGTTCTCAAAAACCACTCTATGACACTGATGCTGTGCACCCTTAACTAAGCAGCAATCACACAAGTATCCTATCAGCCAATTTCCACTGGATGACCTGGTTGATTGATTGTTTTTATTGTTTATCAAACTTTTGTGAGCTATGGATTCATACTTTTCTCAAGGTAATTTGTGTGTAATTGAATGTAATGAACCCAACTGGATTTCAGACTTGACTAATCTCTCTGATTTCCCATTTCGATCCACTCACACCCACTGAACAACTTGAAGTCGATTCAACTTCCATTTCTCCTCTTACTACTACCATTCCCATAAATTAGTAACTTCAGCAATACCACACAAATTGCCAATAACAAATATCTCAATCAAATCTATACCAAATATAAAGGTTATAATGAGATACTGACACAAAAATGTGTTTCAATCACTTCTTGAAACTCTTTGATCTGGTCAGGTGATAATTTTGCATCTTTCACCAATTTCTGCCAGGTGATAACTGATCGTTGACGATGTGTGATGATGTCTTTGTACCCTTGTGGTAATACATAAGGAGCAGTCTGTAAAAACAAGCAAATATATATATATATATATATATATATATATATATATATAAAAATGTTTAACAATGTTTATTAATTTTTATAATCACTAAAATTACATAGTAATAGTAGTATGTAATGATAACGTTGAAAGTGAATACATATGCAGTGAATATAAGTAAATAAATAAAATAGTGGACAATAATGGTATTTGTAAAGCAGACATTACATAATCAGTATTACTGAATACAAATATATATCTCCACATATGGGATAAAAACAAATGGAGTATAATTCCACTGTAGCATTTAATTTTTAAAAAAGTCTCAATACAGAGTTGAGCTTAATATTATTTATTATATGAGATTAAAACAAAACCATGATCAAAATCCCCACTTTTTTAGCATAGGTCTGATACCTAATTGGTTAGTCAGGATAAACCCACAAGCCTCATTTTAATTTTGTTTGGTTGTTATCTGCTTTTGAAATTTAAATATAATTTTTTAGTCACCAGTTATTTACTATCGCCTGAGGAAGCACATTTTGAGTGCTGATACATGAAAGCTATTGTGTAGCAATTTTTAATGTTTTTGTTTTAATCTCATATATATGTATTTATACACACTTTCTAGAATTTTCTTTTTTATTGTTGAAACTATTACTATTATTAGTTTATCCATGCCAGAAAAGATAATGGAATTGTTTTTCACATATCAATCTTTAAATATATTTATTTCAATCATTATTGTTAAACTTAGCTCTTTCACAGAAGTCTTTTTACTTCCTGACTTCATACTTTTTAAACAGTGTTCCATTATCATAATAAAAATATTACCTGGTGCAGGGGAGATAACTCTAATACAACAAAAACACAAATATAATTATACAACTACACATGGGGTGCATACCCGTGCACACACAGACACATACACATAAAATGAATAATTCTATACCCACTTTTGTTGAGCCTTCCATTTCAAAGGGAATATTAAAGATGAAAAAGTCTTCAAGTTTCATCAATTCCCAGACAGGAGCTGATTCTTTATGGTCAGAACCTAAAGGATAAAAGTAAAATATAAGTTTCTAGAAATAAAGAAACAATTAATAACTTCATTTTTAAAAAATTATAATGAGCAATATTTCGTTCCCACTGAGCCTAAACCTGTACAAATCCTGATGTGTGGTCACTACCCTCAAAGAAGCTCCTTACCTTGAACATCTATTGGATCTAAAACTCATTCCGGACTTCAAATGGAATACGTTATATTAGCGCCATTGCAAAAGATGCTGGAAGAATTGTCAGTTCCTTGTATCACACCAGAAAATATCTAACTCCTGCTGTTATGCTCTATGTTTATAAGAGATCAGACCAAGAATGGAGTATTGCTAACGTATTTGGTGCTGCCCAGTCTTCACTACCCAGCCTTGGACAGGGTTCAAAAGCAATTATGTGGCCTTGTGAGTGACGAATTATTTTTTTTTATTACACAGACAAAATGTTACTAGGCTCTCACTACACTATTTCTATTATTATTATGGCAAATGTTCAAATGAATTACATTCCTTAGTTCCACCAGCTCAGACCTTCACAGCTAGGACTCACTATGTCATATTCATGGCGGTAAATCATCCCCAATCCCTCAAGACAACTTCTTCTCCAGAACTGTTACTTTGTGGAACAGACTGCTGAGAGGATACTTCCCTAACAACTAACTAATTAAATTTATAATTTAGTCTCTTCAAGTCAACCAATATCTATCCTACATGTCCTCATAATATGAATTTTTCAATCCCCCCTCCCCCCTCACTTACAACAATCTTGCTCAGTAACCCTCTACTGTGATTGACCCTTGGACCTTGTATTGGGTGAACTAACAGTATAAAAAAAAGCAATATTGAATAAGTTACTTACATTACTTTATTCAGTAAAATGAAATCATCTTAGTAATCAAGATTCATCAAATAATCACATATGTGAGATTATATATTTATATATTATAAAATACACACATGACTGACTTCCATCTGCCTATGATGACAATAGATATACCAACAATTTTTTGGTTGCAAAATGGTTAGTATATCCATGAGCAAGTTAATTTTGTGAGAATGGATTACCTATATACTCATACCACCCATCCATTTTTTCTATTTCTCATGTTAATGACTAGATTATGATTAATACAACTGACAATGGAGTAACTTATTTCCTTATTGGTAGTTGTGTGAAAAGCACCCACCAGAATTTGAACATAGCTCTCTAATTCATTCATTTTCAAAACTGATAATCACCATGCCAACCTGCACTTTCCACAAAGCAGCAACTCTTGGAAAAGCTTAGTAGAACTTCCTCCATACAATCTGAATAGAGGAGTAAGAGTGGTTTGATTTTGTGGATGCAGCATAGTGGATCTTAGCTGTAAAGGTCTGAATTGGTGGAACTAAAAAATAGAGCTTGCCTGAACAGTTGCCATGGAAAAAACAACCATGTATTTGCACAATCAATGCGATGCTCACCTTCAAAGGAAGGTTCCAAACTAGCGTCCAGTTGGCAGACATGGGTGAGTGAGCTTTAATTCAACACAGCTCTGTACTCAAGCAAAACATAATGGTGAATGATGGATATTTATCTATCACAATATCCACATTAGAACCAACAGCCAACCAAAACTCAGAGAATGGGATTGCCTAAGTGGCAGAATAGACCATACTGGCTTGCTACATATACCAGCTGTTCTAACCTCTAGGTAACAGAGAGCTTACAATACAGCAAAGAACTAATCTGTTTATTCAATAGTTGTAACAGGCTTGCAATGTTGCATCTGTGGGAAAGGGTATGCAAAATGGAAAATATATCACTCTCCAAAAGGACGTGTAAATAATTTTAGACTATATCAAGGTTGAAAAGTTAAGATTAGGCAGCTATAACCCAGATACAGCAGCAAGACTTCATTTTTGGTTCCATTTTCTGCATATGGATGTTGATACAAGGCATTATCAGAAAATAAGAGCAATAACTATAGTAAATTTAAAGCCAAAGTACCTAAAATTCAATAAAATATTTGATTATGGAGAATATTTACCTAAATTTTTAATATTACTGGGTAGTTGAAAATTATATAAAAAAGGTGCTCACATTACATTCCTCAAGTAATTTTTACAGATATGTCCACTGTAGAAAAAAATAAACTTCCAGATGTCAGCTAAACTGCCAACATCTTAAATAAATAACTACTTCCATGTTAAAAAATGCATTTCTGCAGTATTTTAAACTAAAAGTAATATCTATTTCAAATTAGGTTAATTAAACTTTAAATCAACTAATATTCCTCAAAAAAGTTTTTAAAAAAGTATATTTTATTTATGAAAGACTTTTTAATAGAGAGAATTATATTGTGATGACAGATTGCTAAAAATGGCACTAAAATCAAAAATGTTTTGTGATTTCAAAACAAAAAGTCCTTCCAGTCAATTAGAATTGAAATAGAGCAAAATATTTGAATTATTGGAAATATTAAATTTAATATATTAGCTTTAAATTAAAACTAAAATAAAAGCTTCAAAAAAGATTTTTCCTTTTTAAAAAATTCTTTTTAAACCTAAGGTATTGCAAATCTGTGGATATATATGATATGCGAATTTTCAGATATAGAAAAAGTAAAATAGTATTATTTATGATTTTATAAATAAAAAATTTAGACAGGAAACTTTATTGGAATTAATTACGTTTTCCCTGCTTATAACAAATAAAATACTTTAGAAAAAAGATTAATTATTTAAAAAAAAAAAATAAATAAATAAAATAAAAGGGAGATAATTGCGTGAAAACAAAGAGCTCTAAGGGAGAATACTATTGTGTATACATACCAAGACACAAAGGTTGATCCCATAAGTTGCAATTTGATTCCAGCCCTACTCGTGCCATGTGTTCTTCTAATTTTGGGTAATGTGTATGGTAGGGAGCCAAAACAACAGAGTCGTTTCCATTAAGGATTACTGGTTGATTTGGGGTTAGCAGGTGCAAAGTACATAACTGGCTACTACTATAAAAATACACATAAGGAACATACAAAAATGAAAAAGAAAAGAAAAAACATATACCCAATAAATTGACTTTCAAAAAAATTACTACAGGTTCAACTTGATAAAAAATGATCCAGTGGCCACTTATTGGTTAAAATGCATTTTATACCAAACAAAACAGTAATCTTTTTATTTAATGAATGTTGTCAAACAAATTTTGTCATTTCCATTGCTTTATTTCAGCTGATTAATTTTGTAAGTATTTTGATGATGGCAATAATACTGAAATATTAACTAAATTAATGACAATTCTTATTTGGTAAATAAATGTACTTACAAATTTTAATTTGATACCAACATTAGTCAAAATATGTGTATCAACTAGAAAAGCAGTTTATGGTTATTTTTTATTTGAAATTTCAATTTACTAAAATTAGAATAACAATATACACAAATTGAAAACGTTTTCTAAATTTAAGTGGGGAATTCAACAGGAAGATTCAGCTATATATTAAAAACTGAAAAATTTTAATATATGTATAGATATATCTATTTCATACCACATTATCATCAACATTGCTGAAGTATTTTAAATAATGTAGGAGTAGAAGAAATAAATTATGTATTTTATCAAGGTTCTCCATGATTTCCAGGGACAAATGGCTTTTGTAATTTATATTTGAATACTGTTGCTGAGTTTATCATTTTTTAAAAATAGAAAATGAAAATGATACATGCTAATGTTGAAACTTTCATATAAGTTTTTGATTTCTAATAAGCTTGTATGTAAAATTATATAAACAGTAAACTATTACTATTATTTTACAATTACACAAGGCTGGATTATGTCCATCTGCGGCCCTGAGGCTAATGAAATCTCTAACTCGCCTGCAAGCACTCATGTTGAATATTTTTTTCTTTATTTGTGACCTATTTTAGCAACATTTACATAGTTTGAAGTTATTGTGAATTCTTTAAATAAACTAGAACAGCTGTCTTTTTTTTGTTTTTCAATAAAACTATTCTTTAAGAAATATCACTATTTTACTATTTATTGCAAACCAAATTAGCACATGTTTCAACACAACTGTAATAAAAAAAACACAGAGTTTTTATAACCAGCATTATAACAATAAAACAATCAAATTATGTATTTTATCAAGGTTCTCCATGATTGCCAGGGACAAAGTTAAATAAATGTAAGTTTGTCATATTGATATCATTTCAATTCATGAAACTATTTAGAAGTTATAACATCTAGAAAATTAAAATCATTGCTTTATAAAAGCTTGAGGGACGCTAGGTGGCAGCCTGTAATAGACTAAAGGATAATCTGGCCCTGTGGATACACAGAAAGATTGAAAATGATATCAAGTGCAATGTAGAACAAACGATTATATCATATTAAAGCTAACAGAAAAATTGACACAGATGGAAAATGTTCTGAGTGAAAAATATCATGAATTTGTACAGTTTATCTTTAAAATGTTAACAGGATATTTTACCCACTTTGGTAAGATTGAGTATTTTTGGAAATCGATATAATTTCATTAATAATTTAATAAAATTTTTTAAAATATAAATTATTACTATGAAAACTTACAATAATTTCAGAGAATTCAACAGTATCAAGAATGGTATAAAAATATTTGCAATTAATGAGATAAAAAAAAATAATGCTAATTTTATAAATTTTTGGATGACTACAAGTCAAATAATTTTACAGAAAAATAGCTTTTAAAAAAGATGCTGAGTAGAAAATAATGCTTACTTTATGACAATTCTGTGACAAGGAGCTATAACTGTGACAAATTCACAATTTTCGATGTGGACAGAAGTTTCAACAGGACCAAGGACAATCTTTGAGTGACGACATTTCTGAACTGTAACTGATCTAAAAATATAAGAACTTATAATGAGTTCTTTTAAGTGAACAAATATGATCACCTAATATGAAATAATATAAGCTGGGATCTAAAACCCATAAGATATTTGCAGTCATATTTGATGTATTGTATATCATTCTGGTTTAAACTGACACTTCTTTTTTTCCATATATTGTGACCATCTTGCTTTAAAGTTTGTATTTTCTTGATTTGAGATATAAACCTGGAAATATTCCAACATATTTCAGTGAAATTTTCGCTTTCCCAAATTATAGAAAATAATATGGAAAAAAACAGACACTGTTTAAACTGATGCCTAAATATTTTCAGCACTACCTTCTAGAAGAATAATTAAATAAAACAGTCTCACTGGTTTGTCCACAATTAGTAGCTCTCTTCTGCTGAATATTACTTACTCATTGCATGTCACCATTCGCAAATCAGTATTAAAACATTACATTATTATTGGACAAACATTTTATTGCATGTATAATGTAGTTTTCTGTGCTCATAATTTTTGTGAACAATGCATTATTATTATTATTATTATTATTATTATTAAGCATGTTCTAAACCAAAAATAGTGGAGTACCAGTTGCTAGCTAATGTGTTAACCATACTGTAAAGAAACTACACTGATTAAGAAAATATTCAATGAGAAAAATAGTAATTTGTGAAGATAATCTGAACAGTCAGAGTTAATAAAGAAATATAGAAAAGCTGTAAGTGGATGAATCAATAAGATGCAATTTAATCTAACTTTTTATCATTTACAACTAAATGTATAAAGAAAAATAATTTCTGTATAACTGACAGTACAGAGGTTTTTATGGAAGTTGAACTGTTTGTAGAGCTGGCAGTGAGTGAAAAGTTAACAGATACTCTTACTTTTGTGTTACTGATTCACTCACACAAAAGTAAGAGCATCTCTCTCTCTCTATATATATATATATATATAAAAAGAATAAATAAATTTATTTTTAACCTGACATTTTTATTACTTCACACATTAATTTTAGTGGATACCCATATTTGAAAGAGATACCCTGTTTTTTTATTTTTAAACTGTGTATTACAATTATTGGGCAAATAGAAACTTGCTAGACTGTGATGCTCTTTGAGGCCAAAAGGTTCAAAGCATGCTGGATCAAATGATGGTGTCTTCTACAAAGAAATACACAGGTTCAAACACTGTTGGAGAGCACATTTTTTTAATTAAGTTTTCTCAAGAGTTCAGGCTGATAGATCCCTACACGCAAACCACCAATCTGTCACTGGGTGGCATGCCACTACCATTTACTGCTGGACCACTGGTGTGTTCATCTTGGCAATATTACCACTGGCAGACCAGTAGAGGCCCACCAGTGGCTTGTGTGTAGGGATGTAATACACACTGTTTAAAAATAGGGATTCTATTTCCAACATTGATATTCACTAAAAATAATGTTTGATATTATATATATATATATATATATATATATATATATATATAAATAAATTGAATTTACTGCGAGCAGTGATCAACAATAACTAACAGTTTTAAATGTTTGTATGCAATCATCAGGCAGTCAGTGACAGTTATGTGTGAAAATGGACACTTTTTACCCTGTAGACAAGGCCAAGATGTTAAAAGTGTAGTTGACTTGTACATACCATGCACACATCAACTAAGCTCATTGATGGCGGAAAAATAAAGGCCATACAGCCAAGATTAAAAAGCAGTAAATTCACAATTATTTTGAGAAAAAACACTATAAATAGTTCACAGGTGTACTCAGGAGTGCTCAATACCATGGGGAACAGTAGGATCATGTAAAAGGAGCTTGCTGCTAAATGTAAAATAGTGCTCAACAATCCTGTATCCCCAAAGTCTCTCATTACAGAGCATATATATATATATATATATATATATATATATATATATATATATATATATATATAAAGTAGAGCACAAACTTAAGAATTTTTTCAATTTTTCTTGTTTTCTTACAAGTATTTTGATTTGTGGCACAAAATTTTAAATACATTTCCTGCTTGTACCCCAAGTACTTTCAGCCAATATGATTATCTTCAGAAGGGAAGGTTGTTTTCAATCAGGTTACATTTTTTTTTCTAAATTGTTTTGTTATAACAAGTAATGATCATTTCAAAGCAGATTATCACTATGGTTGCTTTAAAAGAAAAATAAATCCAATTAAAATAACAATTGCTGTTCAAGCATAAGTCTCCGAACTTGGTTCAGATAAGGAATTCTTACCTCAAAGGTGCCAAGAGATATAAATTAGACCCATGACATCGATGAATTTTGATATTACTGTTTTCAAGAGTGGCAGAACTCTGGGAAACAAAAATAATTGTATATTAACTTATGATAAATATATATATATATATATATATATATATATATATAGTACATAATACAAGTATTGCATTTTAGTTGTCAAAACTATTAACCTTTAAATTTAGATTACAATGAAAGACAGTGAGGTTGTAATATTGAGTTTCAGTCACATAGCTATTGGTATACATCATATTTAGCTGTATTAGTGTATAAGATTATTATTATGAGTTACTCAATAATCTTCAGATAAATTTATATGGAAATAAACTGTCAAGATCTTCCTTTATCAGTAAAAGATTCAAAGTATTTGTGTGGTCCAGCAAAATAATCAATAATAGATTTATATATACTTATTAACATCTGGTTCATATGCGATCATAGATTTGAAATGCCCATATGATAAACCAAGAGTAACTAGTTTAGATCTCATTAGAAGCATGTTTCATTGAGTAATTTAAATCTTGTCCAAATATTCAATTAAATATAAGTACCCTGGCAACAGTTTGTTTGCTGACTTGACTCATGAAGATGACCTTGTTCCTGTCAAAAAAAAAAAAAAAAAAAAATATATATATACGGATTAATAGAATAGCAAAATATTAATTTCATTAAATTTAGAATTTTTTTTTTTAACTTTAAAAAAGAATAAAACAATTCAGGTTTATTTAGGAAGTGCTTTCTAATAAAGCAATTTGCTGTGCCATCTCCCATTTATAATTTTATTTATTTTCTTCATTATAAAATTCTAGTTATGAATTTAATGTTTGCAAAAGATCAGAGAAAAATTACAATATCTTTGATTTAAACACACAACAGTTAAAGTATCTGGTGAAGATGTCAGGTAACCAAAACATACTTGTCATTTTTTTACGTTGTGTAAGAAGAAGTGATAACGGCTATACAAATGAGTGTTTCACATGCCAAAAAACAGTTGGGATGGGGTCATTGTTTTTGACCAATGCAGGTGCATTGCACACACACATCAGTCACAGCTTGAGCATCACTAAGGAAACACAGCCGTGTTGAAGCAGCTCATTTGGGGTTATCTATTTTATGACATTAAGGTGGGGTTTTTTGCAGCCGCATCAAGTTGTCAAATATGTCAAGCCTTTGGGTATAATGGTGTCAGTGAATGAACTGCCAGATATTGGTTCCAGAAATTCAGGACAGAAGATCAGTCCCTTTGTGATGAATCCTACAGTGGCCAGCCACGGGTTCTGGATGATGAGGCCCTGAAAGCAGACATAGAAGATAACAGCCAAACCTCTGGTGAGCTTGCCGAACACCTCCAGGTCTCTGATGAAACAGTCAGACTTCACCTGCACCACATAGGGAAAGCATACAAGTTGAGCAAGTGGATACCCCACACACTGTCAGAAGCCAACAAACAACAAGTGACAGCCTTTCTCTTGCTGCTTTCTCAGTACTGCAATGTACCCATATTTGATTGAGTTCCCACCAGTGATGAAAAGTAGGTCCTGCATGACACTCCCAAGTATGCCAGACATTGGTTGTCACCACAGGACCTTGTGTCTCACACCACAAAACCACCTCTACACCCACAGAAGATCATGTTTTGTATCTGGTGGACTAGTTTACTAGTGGTGCACTATGAGCTGCTATCAGCAGGCCAAACCATCACTGTGGATTGGAATGTGCGCAACAGGCACTGAAGCAGAAGAAGCCAGCATTGATTAATTACAAAGGTGTACTGTTCCCCCATGACAATGCTAGGCCTCATGTTACATTGGTGGCCAAGAATACTATAAGGCAACTTGGCTGGGAGACACTGTGCCATCCACATTACTCTCTGGACCTTGTGCCAACAGATTATCATCTCTTCCATTCCTTAGAAAACCAATCTCATGGGAAATCCTTCACAAATGAGGCAGGCTAGTGGCAGAAAATCACAGTCATCTTTGTGTCCAAAACATGTGATTTTTACCACCAGGGTATTGTGCAGCCAGAGGCACATTGGCAAAATGTTCTGGATGTTGATGGGAATTACTTTGAGGACTAACAGTGTGTCAAATTTGCTGTATACCTTTTTTTTTCTAATAAATTAAAAATGGCAAAAACTTTTTGGTTACCTTTTATAACCATATACTTTTTCTTAGCTTTTGACAAAGATAAAAAAAGAATAAAAACATTTAAATACTTAATTTTACATTTATCATGTTTACAAAACACATTTTTTTTGTATGTGGCTTTATTCAAATTAATTTATTTGTTTTTGTTACATTTTTTTATAACATTTCAACTGTGTATGCTTCAGCCTTTTTCAGGTACAAGGAAATTAGTCAGAAGAGAACTACATAGAATTACCTTCTATTTAAATTTATCTTCATAATGATAAATGTAACACTTTTTTCATTTTCAGTACAAAATACTTTTAGAAATAAATATTGGGAGTAATAAAGAAATTGTTACATAATAGTATAAAAGTTAGACAATGACAGTGGTTACATAAATTTGCATAGTCAATGCTGATGTTTAAAATAAAATTGTGTTACTCTTTTGTATAAAATATACTAATGAATATCTGTTAATATTTAATTAAAAATTATTGATGGACCTTATATCTTAATATCTCTACAATTAGGAATGTTTATATTAAATTGTATTATAACTTTATGATTATGAGGCCATAATGAAAAGTAAAACAGAAACCCATTTAAATCTTTATGACAATCATATATATGTTATACACATTAAACAGGTACAAACTTAGAAAAATACAAACAAGTTCTACTTACCCTTTTATGGCTTCTTTGGATACTATGTGAGCATTTGTGGCAATTCGACCACGTTTGAAATTGTTTTCATTCCGTGGGTCTTCTCCTGAAAATTAGAAAAATTAACAGTGCTTTATGATCCTCACTATCTTAACAATTGCTTTTTTCTACCTACATGTATATGTTACAAATTAAAGTAATAATATAACAGGTTAAACACGACATTAGTTTTCTGTGTCCTGCCAGTCATCTGTTTTTAGGATTCCTTAGATACATTATTTATTTTTTAATTAAAATTCATTAAAGAAACGTTTTTGAATCCCAAATATGAAAAATAATACAATAAAACTAATATTTTCTTTTTATTACAGCCAATATACTTTCTTAAAAGAAACATTCATTAAAGAAAACTTTTTTAAACTGAAATAAAAAAAAATATTTTCTTTATCTCAAGAAACTATCTGTTTTATTACTTTTATTAAATTATTTTTTTTTTATTTTCCTTAACAAATTATTGATTTTATCAGATATTTTCTTAAAGATAATATTAGCTTTATAATATTGTATTTTCTTATTTAGGATTAAAGAACATTATTATTCATAAGTAGAAAATATATTGATGAGGTAATTTTTATTAATAAAAATGCAGTTTATATTTATCTGTGACACTATTTGACACTGGTGAATGGATAGAAATGGATTAAATCAAAAACATAGCTTGGAACAAGATGAGAAGGGTTAATGAATAGAATGAGGGACAGGCCGAGAGAAAGAAGGAAGATGTCTCTTTTTCCGAGAGGAAAGCTTAATTTTCTAAAACCAGGAAAATTACTTAAAGAAAGGTAATATTACCACAAGAAGCTATGTGTCAAGCTTTAAGCTGACAGTTGATTAATGAGGCAGCTCCAGAATTACCAGTTACGAAAACACAATATAAGCAGAATGAACAAAATTTGATTTGTAACCAAATCAAGGGAATAGAGTTTCTTTGTGTAACCTTGGAGTGCAATGACCCTGGCAGGATTGGGGTGGGGATGACTGACTGGAGGAAGCAGCTGGTAAATTTTTTAATTTTAAGCAAAACCAGGTATGAGAAATTTTGCCGACGTGAAATTTCAAATGATAATTTTGATTAATGACCATAAGTTAAGCCACGCCAAATGGTCAAGAGCCAGATTGCTTGAAGGGTAGCCAAGGTAGCAGGCACAGGTGAAATATCAAGGAAGACGAAGGGGAATTGCCCACACCCATTGTGAGGTACCAAAATAAGAAGGAAAGAGTTAGGGTGGATCAATATTCTGTGACCATTACTCGTGGAAGAGGGGATCTCACCAAAATAGGGCATGTAATTTCCCAGGACCAGACAAGAATGGGCTCTTGTTGGCAATTAGGAGATTCACCAGAACCCCAGGCCATGTCATACTTTATGCCAGTTTCAGGTGAAGGTCCATATAAACAGGGAATTGAAGCAGCCGAGACAGTTGTTCCAGATGCTGGACAAGAGATGACCACTTCACCTGATCTCATGTGACTTCCTGTCTGAAGGAAATCTGTGCCAGAAGCCTTGCTCAGACTTAGCTAAACCAACTGAATTGTTGTACTGAATTTATGAAATGGGAAGCATTGATATTTTCTGCATGAAGAACTAATAATTTTTAATATCGAGAATTAACCAAGTCCTGTACAAGGAACATATATACAAAAACATTTTCTTTTATTCAATTTTTTTTTTTGTTTTTACTTATGACATCACTCTGCCCAGACCAAACCAATACAACTATTCCTGGCTTGGATCGAAGAGATCAACTTATCGATCAGCCACAGGAATTGAACATCAGACAGACCGGCAAAGAAGTCTACAAATTTTTTATTATTAATTTATATATTATAAACATTTAATTATAAAAATATTATTATTACATAATTTTATTAAAATGATTATTAAAATTATAAGTAATATTAAAACATCAAACATAAAAGTATAATTTAAATAATTTTTCTATTAATGTATTTTGCTTTTGTCTGGTCCCTCAAAAAAAAAAAAAAAAAACTAAAAAAACACAAACACCGTACCTGTTTTTAATAAAAGGAACCTATTTATTAAGAAATTAATTAATAAATAACTAAAGAAAATTTCACATAAATTAGATAATTCTCTTAATTTAAAAAAAAAAAAAATGGGCTGCATTAAATTATTTTAAAATTACTACCCATTTGTTAAATCTGGAAGATGATGATGATGATGTGTCTTATCCCATTTACAGTTCTCCATGAAAAATGAGTGATTAATGTTTTCCTAAAGGTATAAAAGTGAAAAACAAACTAGCTGCCACAAGCTAAAATTTGAACTCTACCCATTCAGTTCAATTGTCCAACCTGCTAACACATAATCAATAATGAGTTCCTCTTGTTAGGATTCAATCATTAAAATCAATAAGTATTCCTTTTCAAAACATTTAATAAAAAACTTTTTTTTTTCACAGAAAAGTTAAAAATTCTAATAAAAATATTTAGTAAAAAATAATTAAACCTGAAAATGAAAATACAATAACTAAAAAAAAGCGAGTTAATATAACTTAATTCTTTTGAAAACACTAAAAAAATTGAACTAATTTTTAATGTTGATTTTGTAGGATTGTCTACAGCTATTAATTATAGAAAAGATTTATACAATGGTAAGTACCAACTTAAAGGTCACTTACCTAACATTCGCCATGAGAGTCGGCGCCCTGATGACGCACAAGCGGACGGACCAAAAGGATTAGGTATTAAATTTTCTTTAAGCCAATAATACAAAGATTGAATGGGAACTGATTGAGTGCTCTGAAATAAAAATAAAAGATAACAAGCAGAATGAGATATCATTATCAGTCATTGTGAGTCATTGTGAGTCTACTTTTAGACAAAGGTTCTTCCAGATTCGTTCCATAATGATCATGATTGTGTTAATCTCTGATGCATCTGCAAACCTCTCTATTTCATCTCTCCATCTAATGACTGGTCTTTTTCTATTATATTTGTTATCTACTGGTCACCAACCAACCTTTTACTCCATCTGTCATCCTTTCTTCTTGCTATGTGTCCCACCCACCACCAATTTTGTCTTTTAATTACTTCCATGATAACTTTTCCCTTGGTCTGTTCTGTAACCCATGTTATTGTCTTTCTCTTATCATTATCCCTAAGATAATATATACCCTAAAAAAATCCCTTAAATACAAATGCATAAAAAAAACTAACATCCAATATTAAGATGTGTAAATGTGGGGAGGGGGAGATGAATAAGTATAAAAGATGTAGGCATCAATATCAAGGTATATAAAATGTTCCATTTATATAGGTAAACATTAATTGACCAGATACTTCAATTATGCATGTATGACTCAGGAGCATGGTGTAACTCTTGCCCAGAACAGGAGGTCTATTTCAAATCTGATTATTCTACCAGGTGCAAAGATTTTTAGTTTCATTTTCGGTTTGCAGTAGTTTGCTGCTGGAGTCAGCTTAAGAAATTCAAGGAAATTTTTACTTTTATACTTGAAATAATTTTAACATATTTATGTGAAGTAAGTATAAGATTTATTTACTCTATTTCCTTTGGACTTCAGATTATTTTATGTTTTCCTTGAAAAACAAACTTTTTTATATGAAAATCACTAAAAGAAAATGTAACTTGGTTTTGTTACAAGTTAATTTAATGCATGTCACTTAAAGTTAATTTCTTCTTCTCTATGAAATTTTTATTCATAAAAGCAAATACACTAATGATCAACTTTATTTCTTTTTGTGTAATCTGTATGTTTCTAACAAATGAAAACATGCTGAATTTTTACCATGCTTATTATACCCAAATGTAACATTATAATTTTACTTAAAGAAATTAAGATTTAATTAAAATTTATTAATCCTATTTTTTCCAGTCTTTTTTATTACAAATGTTACAAAGTCTCTTCTAAGAAAGTTAATTTTAATGTTTTAATTTTTAACAGATTTTTCTTCCAAAGATTTTTTTTCAATTTTCTACCAAATTAATGAAAACTCATTTATTAAGAACATTGTTATATAAAGTTAATGTGATAATTAAATTCAATAAATTTAATTTGGATTCTTTAAATATTGTAAATGAGGTGTGCAAAACGTTAATCCTAACCCTGCTGCTAAATCACGTTTTTAAGAATCAATTTCTTTCTACTTCTGTAATCATAAAAAAGTATATTTATGACAAAATACTTCAACATTACAATAGTTACTTTATTTCTAAACAATAAAACAAAATAAAGAACTTGCTCTCATGTTTATTTTGTTTCATGCCATTTTTGTTTCAGAATTTATGGTTCTGATATAGTTTTTTGTTTGATTACAACTGTTTTAACATGAATAATTAATTCAAAGATTAAAATGCATATAACATTTCATACATATTTGTTAATGGGGTGGGAAGTGATGGATTTGAAGTTCCACCAAATTATATATTAATTATAATAAGACCTTGGTAAAGAAAAGAATATACCAAGATAAAGAAGATTAACTATTTGAGCCAAATTAATTATGCACTTAAAACCAATTACAGCAGCGAACTACCACAAACCCAAACTAAAATTAAAAATCTTCACTCCAAATGGAACAACAAGATTTGAAATAGGCCTCTAGTTCTGAGAGATGCACTGTGACTTGGCCTTTAGTAAAGAACAACATACTCAGGAGACATCTTCAGAGCTATTTTTATGGAATGAGAGAAAATACATTTTATATGCCATCAAATATAGGAGCTAAATGTTTGTAGGCTATATATATTTAAGAAACAAACAAAATTTACAGTTGACCTTGCTAATAAGCCAATGTTTAATCACATCATTTTCATAACATTATAGATGTAGGTGACTTTTCCTATTTATAAGAGGACTAGCAGTAGAGCCCGGTGTTGCCCGGGGATGTAACAGTAAGAGATAGATCAAGTATCAACCATTATAAAGACTGAAAAATAAAATTGACAAAGATTATTGTTTAAGGTTGACAGACACGCATGTCTGAATTAGTTTTTTTTTTTTTTATGAATTGGTCAAACCCAAACTCAAACAAAAGCATTGTTTTCAATTGTTATGAATCTACCGATTGAATAGAATTTTATTATAAACAATTGTCTTGTAAATGGAATTTTTAAAGCATTCTGAATGTAAAAATGAAGAAAAAAAGTGTGCAAGACAATAAGAAATACTACCTGCCAAAAAAAAAAGTGAAGTTTTGTTGAAATCGGTTGAAAAATGTAGGAAATCCAATCCCATATATAAACGAACACAGACACACACACACAAACAACCTGGGTTTTATAATAAGTATAACTCGATATGAGTTGACCCCTTTCATTCTCGACAGCGATGCCTCTTAATTGTGTTTTCAAATTGATTTTGTGCAAAAACAATTGTGTTTTTCCAATTTTTGGTGCTGTCAGAACCACTGCAAGATAATTTTATGTAGTCCTGTGAAGTTTTGTTGAAATCGGTTGAAAAATGTAGGAAATCCGATCCAATATATAAACGAAACAGACACACACACACACAATCTTGGTTTTATAATAAGTATGAGATATATATATATATATATATATATATATATATATATATATATATGTATATGTATATATTAATCATTTCACCCTAAGCAAGGCAATAAAGCCACTAAGATGCAGGGAGTTACAGAGTGTGAAAGAATATAAGGAGAAACATTGTTAAGGTGCGAAAATAATAAAAAAACAGAAATAAAGAACTGAGGCGAATAAAGAAAACAGTAACCAGCGAGTAAATTCAAGCTCTCCCAGCTGGTATTTCAACCTTGAGTCGTTCCTTCTTGAGTTCTGTCTCAAAATCACACTAACTGTCCGTTCTTGCCGTCAACCGTAAACGTCCCTCGAAGAACTAATATTTATTTGCATTTAAAATACAAAATGTGGCACATGGCCAAAGAGGGGGATGGGGAATGACGGTCTTCTTCTGTCTTAATCTAAAACTTAGCTAGTCACTGACACTGACCCAAACATGCCAACAATAATCCAATCACCAAAACATCACATTCACTCCTACCTTTCTTACTACGTCCACCATAATACCTCAGTTTCTCTATGATGTCCTAACTAGTCCCCCTATATACAAATATTGTTCATGGGGGCAGGGTCATAAAAATAACAACTTTTAAAATCCCCAAATGAATATTTACAAAGTGAATTAAATATATACAATAAACTGAACAAAATTGAGTTAGTAATAAAACCCCCCACAAACTATGAATGTGGCAGAAATATCAGTTAACCGGACGAAATCGATGCGAGACTAAGAAAATGAGTACACATTCAAACCATCAAGCATTCACACAAACACACACTCATTCATACACAACAACAAATACGAAAACACACACACGAAACGAAAGGCGCCCCACATGCACCAGAAAACTGACATCACTAACCACCTAACGAGGGAGGGGATGGGGAGTTAAACAAAAGTAAAAAAATAGGGACAGAAATAAAAGGGACCAATGAGCTTACATGCCTAGCTAAGTTAACCGGAAAAAAAGAAACTAAAACTTCAAAAACGAAAACCTAGTCTAGCCTAATATCTGGGTGGGTTGCCTATGTTCAACCCTGTTAGGACAATATTCTGTACCTAACCGACATCTAAATGCCACTCTAGGTCAGCCCCTTTCACTCTACACATTCGCGCAAGATTCACCCACCTTTTGCGAATTCTGATGATGGGAGCCGCCGCCTTTCCGTCCTAATCTTGACTTTAAGCTGATGCCTAAAGTACAAGATCAGTTGGGAAGAGGTGAACTTCGCCTTCATAGAATCCCTTCTGTCGCGTCGTCCAAATCACATTTCGCATAACCCCTAGTAAGCAACAGAACACATAGTGTTCAGCCTTCGTCACCAATTCACGATACCACATTGCTACAAACAGAACTGGCTTCCAGGACAAAAACTTTCCCTGCAACATACGAACCATGAGGCCTTCAACAAACTTGCTGGCGGCACTACCGTCTTGCACTGAAAAAAGGCGTGACCAATGGTCTCGACATTCCCAGTACAGCGGCGACAGTTTGGATATTTCTCCAAGCCTGCTGAACAAAGTCTTTTGCCGACCCAGAGGGCCCCGCGAATCATCAGCCAGGTGGTGATGCCTCATCGTTATTGAGACATTTCAACCCAGGCGCCCAAGGCCATATCGGCGAGCCTCCTGCCCGTGGGCCGAGCTCGTCGATCAGACCATCTTGAACGGACCCCCTAACTAACACTCGATATAATGCCTTACGAGACAAGCGCTTGGGCGTCAGAGAGGCCATCCGACATCCATAAAGAGGAGCTTCAAAGCAGACGACATTCACGGTGAAGGAGCACTCGCCACGGGAATGCGACCGGCCTCCTCCTCGCCCCAGAAGTGCACACTTCTCAGGGATGGGAAATGTTCTGGACATCTTCTTTCCAAAAAGGTGCCCACCTCATCCAAACCGCGACACATTCGGTCTAAAAAGGTAATCATGTAGCATATATTGACGAATCTCAATGCTAGGCATCCCCAGACCGCCCTCAGAGGGATGAAGGCAACAGATCTCGCAACATACCATATGGGCCTTGCCTCTCCACAAGAAAGAGAACAAGGCCTTGACTAATGACATTAGTCGGGCATACGGGAGTGGAAGCACAGAAAGACAGTAGAGGAGGATCGGATAGATGTGTGAACCACAAACTTCCCGCCCTTCCTTCAGGAAAGTCTCCTCCGAGACCACAGGCTAGCCTTGCCTCGCCCGCCTTTTGTACCTCCGACCAATTCTTT